TCTATCTCAAAGAAAACTCTAACAGTTGAATATGTCTTTGTTTTTCAGATTATCTAGAATTTTGGATGAAATCCATTCATCAATATGGCAGTGATAAGGCTCCTGTCATCCTGGTTGGTACACATAGCGAGAACAAAACAGAAAAGGTATCATTGTTAAATACTGTTATTTATGTTGTACTCAGATATATTAATTTCTTATGGTTTTTCTAATTTGTAAATATTTAATGTACTGTATAAGTACTTTTTTTCCACGTGGTATTCATTTACGCTATGTATGCAGTCACAGGTTTTTCGCAGAAATTTGTCCAAGCATACTTATGATAAATGTAAGGCATTTAGTGTCTACCCTTGGATTAATCAAAAAAGAGATTCCGCGGAATATGACCCCGTGGAAAAAAGTATGTTTACCGTAAAAATAACAAAAACATTGACAATCATTGTATGATTATGAATATTATTTTACTATAAATAATTTGTTAGCACATAATAAGATAAGGAATTTGTTTTCGTAAGGAAAAAGAATTATTTTTCCGAGAAGTATGGAAGACTCTTGACATGAAGAAGAAGTCTTTGAAAAAACATATTGATGTGAAACGGCGATTTGCGATCGGATTCCATGACAATGAAAGCCTTGAAAAACTAAAGATGTCCATTGCTGATGTCGTGTGCAAGCTTGATCACTGGGGTGAAGAGCTTCCACAGTCATGGGCTATGTTTGAAACATTCTTTCAGGAAAAGAAAATTCGCAAAATATTGAGTAGGGGTGAACTTCAGTCTTTCAATGAAACATTGACAGAGGGAATAAAGCTCCATACTATTGAAGATATGGATGCCATGCTGCAGTTCTTCCATGACATCAGAGAACTTATACACTTCAATCACCAGTTCCTCAATGAAGTTATTATCCTCGATGTTCAGTGGTTTGCAGATGCCTTTAGAAATGTAATAACAGATAAAAACCATGCACAAGAAGATTTATTTGATTTTGCCTCAGAATGGGACAAATTCAATGAAACTGGAGAATTAGATAAAGCACTACTATGTGCCATATGGAGAATGAACAACAATGGTTACCTTGAGCACAAAGAGAATATCATGATGTACATGGAGAAGTTAGGACTCTTAGCTAAAATGAGCGACAAAACATGGTATGTCCCGTGTATGAACAAGATGCAATTTCCAGTGGACTGCTTCTCATCATACCCTGCCTCCACCATCCTTTGCTACACGTTTGATATTCTTCCTGTAGAAATTTTCCATCGCCTTGTAGCAACATGCATGCAGATTCCTTGGGAGATTTTTTCAGATGAAGAAAGAGGATGCATTTACCAGACTGTGGCCGTTTTCGTGTTTCATGACCAGCGCCATAACGTTCTGATGGGAATGACTCAAACAGAGATTCAGCTTCAGGTGTTTGTTACAGACGAGGAGGGAGAAGTTGATATCTCAGCATGTCACGAGATCAGAGAGAAAATTGAAAGTATACTTAACAATCTTGCCGACACATTTCAGAATAACTCTGGATTCCATGTTGCGTTCAAATGCAAACCTGCTGGATTCTGTGACAGCAAAGAGAGTTCTGTCATAAATGAGTCTAAGTTTACAAGAGCAACTTTCCAGTGTCCGTCCTGTCCAGCCAGTAAAAAGCATCCAATCAACACAAACGATATCACAAAATATTGGAAAAAGGTTCTGTAGAAAATTATTTTGGCTTTAATAAATTCTATACTTTGATTAAACAAAAATATAATAAATTAATTAAACGATTACTTTGTTAGATTAAAGTAGAAAAATATTCTGAAATTAAATGTTTCTGATTAAAATGTTTTTTCATTTATAGCTATAAAATAAAAGAAAATATTATTGATAATTTCATGAAGAATTCTGAATGTATTGACCTATTTAAAAAATGCGAAATATAGTTATTGGTGATAATTGTTGAATTCTTTATTGAAGGAGGTGGAAATTAACCTCACTTATATCAAAAATACATATAACCATTCTTTATTCTGTCTCGTTTTATACAGGAGCTTCAAAAGAAGCCTGATCCTAAGGAGGAAAACATCTCAGGTGTGTATCTTTCTATTCAGTCAATTGAACGTATTCCATAGAAGACAGTATACAGATTTTAAAGAGTCTTGGGAATGTGCACTTCCTTTCTTTCGTGATTGTAAAAATGCATGATGAAAAAATTATCAGTTATTTTGTTGGACAGTAGAAATACTGTTCGATGCAAGATAGATACCTACCTAGAAGAAAGAAGGGCATATTGCTTTCCTCTTGTTTTTTGGTTGACAGTTCGATTGATCAGTCTGTTAGTCCACCAAGTTTCTATTCACTTTCCTCGCAGGAGTTGCACATACGGGAATAAATTTGATATACATATTTATCATAAGAATTTCTACCGGTCACGGTGGCCTAGTGGTAGAGCGTTCGCTTCGTGATCGGGAGGCCCGGGTTCGATTCTCGGTCGCGGCGCCGCGTCACACCTAAGACGTAAACAAAGGTAATGATTGTCCTTTTGCCAAGCGCTCGGCACTAGAAGTGAAAGTCACGGGTCTTTCGGGTATGACCTTAAAAATGTAGGTCCCGTGTCACGGTAGGCGTTGGCACGATAAAGAACCCTCACTGCTCAATGGCCTTGAGTGCCGAGTATAGGTCTAAATTTGATGGACGTTAAACAATATACAATCAATCAATCATAAGAATTTCAAGGAGATCTCTTTTGGGTATTACAAAGTAAATTTGGACAGAGCTATCTCCCTGATGATCTAATTGTTGAACAACTTAAGGATGGCTTTTACTCAGATTTTAGATTACCAAAAAAATTTAAAATATAATATGTTAAATTAAAAATTGACTAAATGAATCAGAAAGCTTTTACTCAATATAAATAGTTTTTATTCAATATCAATTTACAAATTTCGTATTTTATCATTCAAAGAAATTATAAGGGAACAAAAGTCAATATGCTTATACGGAGGAAATTTGGACTTAATTTTTAAATTTTCATTTTTCTCAAATAATTATTTCTTGTAAAAGTTACATGTATTCTTAAACATCATTATGCAAATAGTATGTTTATTTTGGGCTCATGAATAATTCAATTATACGAATTAAGAAATTCAAAAATATTACCAGAACCCTTCCAGAAAACCTGTCTCAACTATTTGATCATTGAACTTATTTCACTATTGAAATACATAGGAATAATTTTCTTCTCAAGAACCACTATGCCAGAAAAGCTCAAATTTATTTGGAAGCATATGGGTATTGTAGATTCTAAATTGTTTACATCGCGTCCGTCGAGAATAGGACGTTGCCACAATATGGTATCTAAGTTTTACCTTGGAACACATATAAAAAGTATTCTTCTCAGGCACTACTCAATCAGAATAACATAAACTTGTACGGAGGATTCCTGGGGTAATGTAGAATCTAAATTGTACAAATTGTGATCAATTGTGGTAGTTTGGGACGACACTAAGTATTACAAGACGTCAAATTAGTGCAGAAACACATGACCAAATTGTTACCTTGGCGAGTTGTGTGGCTCATAAGCCTCTTGATTGGAAATAGCACACAAACAAATCCGGTTTCATTACAATACTTGTGTTGGAAGTGATTTAAACTGCTTGATCAATTTTTTATCATTATTGTTTTTATTATATATTTTTGTTTATTTAGATACATGTAATGTATCATTATAATTGATAAAACATGTAGCATGCAATCTTGTTGATGAACTACATGAGACAGAATGTCTATAGAATAACTGTAGAAATGGTGACAGATGAAAGAAGCTCGTGAATATATAATGTGAAATACTTCACCCCCTGCTTTATTGTTTTACAATTCCTGGTGATCTCGTAACATGAGTATTCTTAGATCAGAAATTTTTGAGTAAAGAGGTTGTAACTACGTTATATCAAAGAACAAATCATTAAGAACAAAGCGTAACTCAATAAATGTTTATAAGTTTAATTTGCATTTTTTATATTTCAGCCTTAGAATTGATTTTAAATGTGGTGTCTAAGAAAATGCGTGACACAACATGCTGTCTGTTGGCAAGTTATTTTGAAGTGGCAGAAGACATCTTCATACGAAATTTTGAAGAGCAAGTATTTAGAATTCTATACAAGTGGTTATGTAAAAATCCAAACATCGACCACTTGAATGAGTTGGAAAGAATTCTAAACGAGGCTGACCAAGGGAGAGCCGCAGAATATGTTAGGACGTTCAATATGGCGGATTTTCAATGCAGAGATATTCCGAGTCCGAGTCTGTCGGTATCGGAGAAAGAATTCCATATACTGTCTCAATATCTTCCAAAAGATTACACTCATTTTGTGCGACTTTTGGGCCTTCGGCAGAGAAGTCTTGAAAAGATAGAAGAAAACTTTCAGAAAATAGAGAAACGGGTATATGAAGCTCTCTTACAAACAAGAGAGGAATGTCCCACCCTATGCCGCCAGGATTTGTGTAGAGCGCTGACATTTCTAGAGAGAAATGATGTCATTGAGGCCCTAAAACCTCTCTGGAAATCATAACAGGAAATCTTGAAATAACAATTCTACAGTCTTAAAAGACAAAAATATTAAAATGAAATAGATGTACATCTGTCTTCTTAGTGCAATAGAATTATAGAGATGTAAACATCCCTTCTTACCTTTTACATATAGACAGGAGAACTGATTGTTTGTTTACCTGTCCAGTTTACTTATCAACAGCAGAACAGATGGGATGTTTATTAAGATTATTTTGTATCGTCACCTCTATAATTTCTAATTTTTTGTTAAAAAAATACAATGCGTATATCGTTTGCAGATCTAGATCAGCTGAGTTTAAATTAAGGATACCTCTTACTATCGTGTTTTTGTCCGTCGGCATGATTCGTCCGTTGTGCGTTAACATTTAATCATTTTCAGCTTTTCTAAAATAAAAAAAAACGGCTTAACCTATTTCAACCAATTTTAACAAATACATGTAACATTCATGGAATAAGCGTTGTGAGGGTTTTTTTTAATTCATTGCCCCTTCTCCAGGCATGCAGCCTGTGGGATATATATAAATAGAATCTCCCATGGTTTGTGGTTTGATATGATTTTTATCCAACGAGTTGCGTGTTTTCTATCCCTTAGCCTTGGCGAGGGGATAGAAAACACACAACGAGTTGGATAAACATCATATCAAACCACAAACCATGGGAGATTCTTTTTAAGGTCTTCCGTTTCCAACGGAAGACCTTCTACTGATTCTGATGATTAAGATTATTCTTATTAAGGTCTTCCGTCTTCAGCGGAAGACCTTCTTGTTATTCGTTTGTTTTTTTCCACTGTTTTTAAGGTCTTCCGTCTTCACGGAAGACCTTATAGTGATTCTACTGTTTCTTATTATTATTATTCTTTTTATTATTTTTTTTCCAAAATTTTGTGCACGCGATTTCTCGAAGACTACTGGATGGAATGACATGAAATTTTCAGAAAAGATGTGTCGTAACATGAACTTGATCTATCTGAGCGATTTTTTGAAAATTCTCTTTTGGTGCCAAGTTACGGGACATTTCCTGGTTTTAAAATGACATTTTGTCCGCGGTTAAACTCAAGAACGGTAAAAGATATCAATATGAAACTTTCAGGGATTATAGATCGTGATATTCTTCTTCCAAGACGCGACCTTTCGTTCGTCGTCAGTACTTCCGGTCGTTACAACAAGCAAATTTAAAAAAATCGTATTTTCTAACTTTTTTGTTTTTCAATATTTTTCATTTATTTTTGGAATGTTAATAGAGACTCTTTTATTGATGCTTACTATATAATTTGTTTGAACATTTATAAATTTAAACTGTAGATATTAACATTTGAAAATCTGAAGCGGGCCCAAGATGGCGGCTGTCTCTGTCAACTCCGCCATTTCCCGAGTAGGGGGTTAAAAAGGCAGCTGAGCGTTTGCTTAAATGAAAGTTACAGTATGAATGGAATGTAAATGAGTACGTTGATTGTCACGTAGTAATTACGTTACGATTCTGTGTCAAACTAAAGATATATTCCAGGGTCTTCTCAAACGCATTCTATAATTGGTTTTGGCTAGTTATCAAAGTAGATAAAGAATAGACTAAATGTAGAAATGAAATAGATATCTACTATCTTTGAATCACGGAAAAACAGATCTTAAATCTTAGTTTGAGAAAAAGTTTTTCAAGAAACAATACTGATCTATATAGAAAGTATAAAACGTAAACATTGTTACCCCATGCACACTTGTGTCAAAATAAACTAATAGAAAAGACCAAAATAAGAAAAATATTTTAAAAAGATCGTTTAAGGTACTAGTGATTTGAATTAACATTCTTTTCTCAAAGATCGATACGATTCAAGTTATTACACATAAAAGGTATCCCGATTCTTGACCGTCGTAGGGCCATACATGTTTTTGTCAAACCATTTCAACCTTTTCATGAAAGTGTAACTAATAGGGATAGTTCACTCTGTGGATAAATGGAAAATTCAAAAGAGGGTTTTAAATTATAGCAATTGCATTGCTTTAGTTTAACTTACCTTTATACGATATAGAATGTGTAGAATGCAAAATATGATTTCTAAACCTCGAATTTTAGGATTTAGGAACGTTCTTCTTTTTAATTTCACTGTAATAACGGTGTTAATATCACACCCATTTCATGGAACATTCCAAAGGAAAGGCGCGAAGATTTACTCGTGGCGTTTTGTGGAAAATAAGGAATAATTACCCGCCTTTCATGATTCTTATACAGGTGTACTATTGTAGAAGTATATATACAGGAACATTAAGGGAGAGTAGAAGTCCCAATAGCGTAGTAGTGTGAGCTAGAGATAGAAATAAAAGTGAGTTGGTTTTTCACCACTGGGTTCAAACCCCATTGTCACAAAAATAATTTAATCCCCTTTTAAGCTTAATTTTACTTTTTTTTTTCAAAATCGGACGGAAGACCTCTCGTTGCTCGCAACGAGATCGTTTCTAGTTCTTATTATTTTTTTTCTCCCAGATTTTGTGCACGCGATTTCTCAAAAACGGCTCATTAGATTTTTATAAAACTTTCAGGTCTGATAGAACATATTAAAAACTTAATGCATTTTTTTTCATTTTGATGACGTCACTTCCGGTGGAAGATTTTCGCAGTTTTGTGATTTTTAAGGGTCATTTTGTCCGTCGCTCTTCTTGAAAACCGCTCATCACAGGAAGATGAAACCTTGTCTGGAAGATAGAGCAACATTGTGTTGTTAACTTTTACCGGAAGTACTGCACGTTAACGCTCGGTATCGTCTGAAAAAAGCAATATTGAGCGTTTCAAAATTTCTTACACTTTTTTCTATTATATCGTTTAACTTGTAAATATTTTGTTAAAACATATAGAACAAAAGTTGTGAAGAATTTTAAGATCTTTCAATTGGTATCTCGAAAAAAAGGGCTGACCCCTAAAATAAGGGATCTAGAGGGGCCAGTTTTTAATTGATATCTAAAACAGTATTGAGAATTTGTAATACGTCAAAGAAGCAAAGTTGTTTAAAATGCCAAGCTTAATCTATTTGTGTCGTCAAAATACGTCCGACGTCGTCACTTCCGGTCAAACCGGAAGTAGTCAAAAATGCATATTTTTGCCGTTCATGTCAAGTGTTTGGGTAACATATATGTCAGTAGTAGCATAAAAATTAATTTTCGTCTATCGTTATCACTTCCGCTTAAACCAGAAGTAGCAAAAATTTGCATATTTTTGCATTAATTAACATAGGTTTAGAGGATTCAATCCATTTTAGGCATTATTTTTCATTTTTGTTTAAAATGAAATCTACTTCCGGTCAAACAGGACGGAAGACCTACTCGTTGCTTTGCAACGAGCTCGGCTCTAGTTATTCTTTTTTTTCCCTTTTCCTAGACGCCAACTTTGAGGCCTCATATTTCACTAATTTCTCAATGGATTTTTCTCAAATTTTCGGAGTTTATAGACGTTACTAAATTCTAACAGAATGCTATCTAGTATTTCAAAAAGTCACTTCCGGTTTTGAGTTATTTCCCTTTAAACGAAAATTTATAGGCTTTCGTTTCCAGACAAAGGCTCAGAGACGGCTAGAGCTGGAGCAAAATATTTACTGATTTTAGATAATACAAGGATTGAAGTTGTGCATGGCGGCTTTTGTTTTTCGATTGGTGCTATATAGGGGTGCTATATAGGGGTCAAAAATTAGAAGGCCTAAAAGAGCGATAATTTACTCATATTTTCCTTTTGATCTTGAAAACTAAAAATATTTTGCTAAGACATAATGAACAAAAGTTATGCAAAATTGAAAGGGCTTTCATGTAATATTATTCAAAAGGGGCTGCCCCCTATAATAAGGGTTCTGTGGAACTTGAAAATTTTTGTTTTATAACTCAAAAACGGTAAATATTTCGATCTAGATCTAACGGACAAAATTGCTCTTTTACACCTTTTTGATCTGTTGAAAATGCTGATTTGTTCGATTATGCCGGGAATATTGGTAATAACGCGGTAAAAGCAGGCAAGGTAAACAGGTAGCGTTTTCGGATTACATTCATCTTGTTTGTTTACAATTATGTAACACGAATCCCTCGATAGCGCGGAGCAAAGTCGGTCACCGGGAATCAATCGGCGGGTAATCCAGTGACCCACATTTATACACAAATAAAAAGACAGAATGGTTAAATTCATTTTTTTATATATAGAATTGAACCTTAATACTATCTCTGTCCTATAAAAATATTATTTTGTTCGAGTCTTACGTATTGTAGGAAAGAAAGCTAGGCAGTTCTCATCTTGCTATTGAAAGAAAACTCTGTAGTCTTTATGCGCAGAATTGAAGTAAACTTGCCGTGAATAATAAATATTTTACAATGCTGTATCGCATCTCTGTTTTAATTCGGTTTTAAACGTGTTCTTTGGTTCCCGTTCACAGTATTCAATGGAATCATTTTCCTTTTACTAATCAAAATGTTTCCAAGAGAAAGAGTTTTTGAAAAAAACTTTTCTTTGTTAAAATATGAGCCAAAGGCTCAAGTGAGCTTTTCTGATCACCTTGTGTCTGTCGTCCGTCCGTCTGTCTGTCCGTAAACTTTTCACATTTTCGACTTCTTCTCAAGAACCACCGGGCCAATTTTGACCAAACTTGGTATAAAGCATCCTTGGGTGAAGGGGAATTCAAATTGTTAAAATGAAGGGCCAAAACCCATAACAAGGGGAGATAATCAAGAAAAGACAAAAAATAGGGTTGGGTCATTAAAAAATCTTTTTCTCAAGAACCACTGTGCCAGAAAAGCTGAAACTTATGTGGAAGCATCCTTGGGTAGTGTAAGTTCTAAATTGTTCAAATCATGACCCCCTGGGATTGGGCGGGGCCACAATGGGGAATCCAAGTTTTACATAGAAATACATAGGAAAAATCTTTAAAAATCTTCTCAAGAACCAATGAATTAGAAAAGCTGAAACTTATGTGGAAGCATCCTTGGGTAGTGTAGATTCTAAATTGTTCAAATCATGACCCCCAGGGATCGGGCGGGGCCACAATGGGGAATCCAAGTTTTACATAGAAATACATGAGAAAAATCTTTGAAAATCTTCTTCTCAAGAACCACTGTGCCAGAAAAGCTGAAACTTATGTGGAAGCATCCTTGCGTAGTGTAGATTCTAAATTGTTCAAATCATGACCCCCTGGGATTGGGCGGGGCCACAATGGGGAATCCAAGTTTTACATAGAAATACAGAGGAAAAATCTTTAAAAATCTTCTTCTCAAGAACCACTGAGCCAGAAAAGCTGAAACTTATGTGGAAGCATCCTTG